GAATGCCATTTGGTCAAAAATTTATGATCGCCGCCGAAACTGTGGAAGAGACGCGAAAATGGCTTCGAGAAATTGGAGGAAGGAAGGGATTATTTTACGAATCGATGAATTTGTGTTCTCGTCGTTGAAATATTATTTGGCGAATTTAAACAAATATATATACATACGATACGATAATCTAAAGCGAATGTGCCGTGATAAGTTTTATCATGACAACGATTAAAACTATTTAATTAAGTTATCGTTCGTATTAAATTCCGTGTTTAACTTTTGCGATAAGTCGTTACGTAACAAAGCCACATATAGACTTATGTGAATTCAAATTTCAATTTAACAGTCTAAAATGGGAGGGAAGTCAAATTTAAATTTTAAAGTTTAGGAAAGGAGTGTATTTAAAAACATTAAAATTACATATTTCTCTCAATGCAATATGTTGGGAAATAATTAATTGTCATGTGTCGCATAAGAGATCTCATAATATTTACATTAATTTCTCTATGCATAGTTGCACTAGTATCAAAATTTATCGTTTACTGGCGGTACTTTAGATTTCCGAATGGCGTTCTATTCTCTTAAGCAGCCATCCGAGACTGCATATCCAGAGCGCAATCACGTGATGCAAGTTACGTGGCAGTCGGAATACAACAGTGCCAAAAGTGAGCTCTCCAAGCTGACGGACGAGTGCAGTTTGCAATATGCATGAGACTGTAGTCGGTGGATGATCACGTTTTCCGGGATCTGATCTTCTTGCAATCTCCATATGCGCTATAAAGGGCTTTTAGCGAAATCGCCAACAAAACCGACGGCGTCTAGTAATAATAACGGTGTACTCGTACAGCGGATCATTGCGAAAATGGCGAGAGAATGTTACGTTTATTCCGGGGGAATAACTGGCGTATTGATTTCTTGGCAATTGGGGTCACGTAATAGCCATAATTCTCAGATTTTGTCGCATAGACGTCACTTTGATAAAAATAATTCTCGTGGCATGGCTCGAAAGAGAAACAAAAAAGGGTAGTTATTTTAACCCTGAAACTATGACATAAATTCTTTTTATATATTTTATGCAGATGTGTAAGTGGAAATATCACGTTTCGAGATAAAATCGAATCGATGTGTAATAACGAGCTATTTTGAGCTACATCAAATGTAAATATGAAAAGATTTTTTTTTATATTAATTCAGTATATTTCAAATTAAAATAATAATAAATGGACAATTTTTGTTAGTTGTAATTTTATAAATGAATAAATATATGAATTTTATGAATGTAAACTATTTATAATTTTAAATATTTAATACATTAAAAAATTGGAAAGATTGTTTCCAATTATTTTAGTTTGAGAATTAATTAAAAAAAAGATAGAGAAAGAGAAAGTTCATTTTTAAGTTGCGCTTATATTATCAGTAATCGGATAGCGATTACTGATGAAAGAACAGAATATGTGATAGGCACACAGATAATGATTTTCATCGATAATAAGCTTATGCCGCGATATGATTATTACGTCGCATAATTATTATTCATTGAACGTGCATATGTAGGCACAATATTCGCAATAATGATAATTGATCACCCAAAGGCGATTACTTGGCACAACATTTACTTGTGCTTTGGTTAATTTACGTGTTGTCATCTTAATATGTGCAATTATTATTGCATCATTATCATTATTTAGTGCGGCAATATATGCACGGTTTGTAAAAATTGTTATCAAAATGCTCCGAGTGACGTATAATCGATATAAATTATTGAGATGATTTCAAACAATTTTGAAATTTTATATGGGTATTATATTAAATTGTTCCTTTGTGTAGAATGTCATCGATACATATTCATTTTCATTGTACTAAAATTAATAGAGAACCGTATTTCATATGACACATATGGGGAGATGAAAGCTTCATGCGTTTGAATGGCAGCAATAAATTTTTTAATGGCAATGTAATTGGCAAATATTTCAAGTATTTTTGTCAATAATTGTTACTTGATTGTTGGAAATATAAGAAATATGGAAAAAACATTTAACAATTTTCTAACATAACAATTAATATCTTTTGCGATGTAGAGATTTATATGAATTTGCGCGTGTTGGTCTGTCAATTCTAGAGATACATACATTCTGCATCTTATAATTAGCAGTTGTTTACGCAGAGCATCGTGCAGACATAGTCGATAAGGTCGAGAGGAAATTATTCTGAAGTTGCTGAAATACTGTCAGACGCGTAACATCGTGACTCTCGCAAATCTTACGAAAGAAATTTGCCCGCTCATGAAAATAACCCCGGGGTAAAGTAAACAACCGAGGCGGAGAGCCAAGGTAATGCGTGGCTAATGCGAATTCCGCGGTAAAGTTTTATTAAATTATATTCCACTCGGCGAATTCAAATTATCTCGAATACGCTGCGCCTGCGAAGGTATATTCGACCAGAAGAGAAACATATTTGTCTGTACGTGTACGTGCGCGCGTGTGCGTGGGCAGGATACCAGAGTAAATCATGGAAAGTGGACTACATAGGATTTTTCTCCTACATTTTTATTTTTTTTTTTTTGCGCTCAACGTCGAGTATATCGCTGGACACAGTATCGTGTGATATACCTCCGCTTAAAATGTGGATCGAAAAAAAAAGAAAAATTGTTTCGAATAAAGCTGTTAGCTTTGTAAAATTTTTAAAAACAAATTTCTTTTTCCAAAAAATAATTTAAGAAAGATATTCTTGTTATCTCTCATTCCTTCTTATTCATGTCAAGGGGATTTGAAGATTTTAAAAAAATTATTTTCTTCTATATTTTCTACAAATTAAAAAAATCTCTGTAAAGCTCTCCAGGGAATAAGTTTTTCTCATCTAATCTCCATTTTACGCTGCGCCGAGATAACAAAATAGCATCCGCTCATTGTGATTCAGCTTCTGCGAGTATTGCACGTGCATTCGGCGCATTTTCGACAAGTTTTCCCCTCCCTTTTCTCTCTCACCACCATTTCTTCCCGCTTCTCGTTCTTCCCTACATTTTTCCCCGAAGACTTCTCGCGTTCTATCGCCGAGATTGGCATTCTTGCGCATTTCACGGACACCAGCGTGAACCAGCAGCACCCTTTCCATCAACCCTTTCTTCGACGATCCGATGCGATGGTGAGAATGCGGGATTGCGGCCGGTAAAGATGCGCATTTCTCCGCCTAAGTTTAAATTGTGTACTCGAGGAAACGGTTCGCCCAACTATTCAAGCAACTTTTAATACAACCGCCGTTGCCTTCTCGCAAAGTATGATAATCAGCCAGCTCTTCCGTTCGCGAATGGCAAGAAAGCGACGAGACAGACAATTTCGTTCAATCTCAATTTTTTTTAGGATTGACGTGCGCCTCTTATGCATCCGATGAGGATAAAATTCAATTCGTCGATGAAAATGTCCTAATATTTTGGAAGGCATTTAAATGCGTAAAATTCAGATGAAGAAAATTCTATGCGTAGTCCTTGTATGTGTCATAAAAAAATGCATTTTTAACATTTTTTATTAATCATTTTAAGAAATACTGTTAGTAATGTTACAATCTTGTATTCCGAAAATTGTGTGATGATTTATGACAGATTTGTCATCTGGTCACGTCAATCTCGCATTCGGAAGAAATTCGTCCAAAGTCAATTTAAGAGTCTTAATTGGGCGGACGCGCGGGGAGACAATCTCGCGGCTTAATCGCAAATTAGTGTCGGGCGCAACCTGTTGCTGGGACGTGGGATTTGTCGTTCAGTTTTAAGCTATGACGATTGAGCTTTCTCGGAAAAGGGAGAAGAAGAGAGGGAGAGACAGAAAATGAGAGAGAGAGAGAGAGAGGGGAATTATTCGCTGTCTCGTGCTTTTTACTCCAATCATTCTTGCCGTCACGTAGTCAGTAACGAGGGTCTCGTTAGTTGCTAACGAATTGTTTGGATACAATCGCGCGAATTCCCCTTTCCCTTCACCTAGGACGTGTTCCTCGCATTCATTAACATTCGAATCAGACCGGCTTGGATTTCGCAATGCTTTGATACTGTGGATTAAGTTGATTGGATCACATTATATGAGGGATTCTACGGAAACGAGGTTAACTAATGGCCGCACGGATACACAAACAGAAAGAGAAAGAAAGAGGAAAAGATCACAGTGATATCATTCCGTAATTTATAACGAGTAGCTTTTCCTGGAAATTAAAAGCACTTTAGGATCGTTCAAACTGTTGTAATTAAAATGATAAAAAATTAATTCGCTGAGAATTTAAAAAAAAATAGTTTATCTTCAAATGCAGAAGAATTATTATATATCGAGAGAATAAAGATATAATGATATTTAATCCTATTTAAAATATTATAATTATAAATATTATAACTATAATTATAAAAAAATATATTTTAAATAATCATTATATTGTGAGAAACAAAACTAATATAAACTTGATAAATGCATGCACAAAAATTTAATGAGATTTTTTAAATGAGATTTAAATTCAAATAGGTCAATGACCAAAGCAAATAACGTTTGAGAAAATACGTTAAATTCAAATCTGACGAGATTTTATTTATTTTTTATTATTTATAACATTTGTTTATAATTGAATATGTATATACATGTATGTATATACATATAATGCTTATAATTAGATTTATATGCTTATTATTAAAAGCGTACAATTAATATATAATGGATATCTTATAATGGATTTACATATTGTGATGCTTTAACTTAAAGATTTGTACTTACAAAGGATATTTGTTTATAGAACATAAACAAAATATAAAACGTCAAAATCAGAGAACGTTTAATTCAATTTTTTTTTCATTTAATATACATATAGTATTTAACTTTACAAGATATATTTAAAATATAATAAAATATCTGAAAGTAAAATTATTTGAATCATCTTCAAAAATAATGCAATAATTAAACTAGTGAGATTATAATTTATAGAATTTTCTTCATCTGAATTATTTTCGTCAAAATATGAATGATATTAATTATGGCATAATTATCGTCGTAGAAGTATTCTAAATAAAGTAGATATCTTATAAATAATGCATCAACTGGCCAAAAATAATAAAATATTGATTTATATATTAATATTATAGAAAATTTAATTATAAAATTATGACAAAACTAACTCTGAAAAATTAAATTAAGATAAAAATAATCGAGAAGCTATTTGTATAATGTCTTCAACTCAGGAATTGTCTTTCATAGCGTACACAGAATAAGTCTCATTCTCCTGAGATCGATCCTCGAGAATTAGTTTATAAGGTTTCCGTCTTTCCTTATTAGCACTATTTCCTGATATCGGATACATTCTCAAGGAGTACAAGTAAAAAGATAAAATCACGAAAGGTTTGGACAAAATATCCTACGCAACATACCGCATTATTATCCATCGATCCACATTTAATTTCAAAATATGTATTTTTTATATAATAATATCAGATGTGATACATATGTATCTTATGATGTAAAAGGTAAGCATCTTCCTATCATCTCCAATAATTATGGAATAAATATAATTATGGAATAAATATAAGAAGAGGCAAGATTGATTAGGAAAGCCTGCATTTGGCAATATTGAAGCTCGGCAATATCGTGAAAATATTATGTATCAGAAAAGAGAAACGGTTTAACTAGATGGATAAATGGATAGATAGACGGATATATAGATAGATAGACTGACAGATAAATTGATACAGATACGATTATAAATACTTTTCATTCGGACGTCGCACATTGGATCGATAAGAAATTCTCTAGTTAGCGAGTATGTCGCAATTGTATCCGCCCCACTTCTCCGGTTTGGCGAGATATCGATTAGCAGGTCCCAGCAGTTGTCTAACCTTGACATGTTAGACCTTCTCGCGTAGCATCAGATTCGCGAGACCACGTAACATATTCCTAGATTGACAAATCTCGTAAGACTTTGCACAATACCGATCGTCCATTTCATTCACCTAATCTATAGGGATAATACCATAATAAAGCAGCAAAAAAATCCGTAAGCGTCTTCAGCGTCACATTCCTTTCGGATATATTATAGTTGCTTTTTTATTTTTGATATAGAAAGAAAATTTTGATATAGAAAGGAAATATAGCAATCTATTGTAAAATACGATATATAAATATACTTTCTATTTCCGTTTTGGTAACGAACAAAATAATTAGGCAGAATATCAAAGTCTATTTATAAAAGTAAAATAATCGAAAAAAAAAATTACGTGTATCTCTTGAAACTCTCTTTAGACATATATATAATATATAAATTAATTCAAACGTTTTTTCCAAATAAATTCGGACATATTCTATTCAGAGTTCGTTTCTCAAAATTGTGTTGAATGACTTACAATATTCATTCGACAAAGCTTGGCATCACCGAGATATCTCAATCTTCCTGAAACGCGACGTCGTCTTCGTTAATACGAAGAGTCTTACATTTTCGCATCCCTTTCCTCGCGTTTCGTCCACAGGATCTCTCGCGATCTCGTCATAACATTTTCTCCGGGAAGAACCATCGACATTGCTCGCATGCAATCACTGATAAAGATCCTGCTGGTAAAGATCCTCTACCGTGAACATCCCCTCCGCGAACGGACTCTGCGCCTTCGTCTTCACCAGATGAAAGCCCCGATATCTCTTGTTGACATCCTCGCCCATCAGCACCGCGGGATGTCTGGGCGGGCATAGACCCAGCAGATAAGCCACGAATCCGTAACAGGGCCAGCCCCAGAAACCGATCTTCGAATTGATCGACTCGGCAAAGTATTCCGCTGCCCTGTGATGATTACATCCGAATGGATTTCCATGCTCCCAGCATCCGGGCTGGTTGACCCCGCCGTTCATGTAAAAGTCGATATGGCCGCTCGGTTCGATCTTGCCCTGAATAAAGGCGTTCGTGTGCAACACGTCGACAAATTCGGCATCACTCTCATCGAGCTTCTCGTCCTTATTAACAGTGATGAAGAGCGGCATCGCCGGGTCGAGACCGGTAATTCTCGATAGCTGATATGGACGCAGCACATTGGCGGCAAACGCCGGCACGTGTGCACCCAAACTGAAACCGATTACGTGAATATCCGCGGCACCGTAGTCTCTGAGACGATCGATCAGCTGCGCCAGACAATCGCCCACGTGAGGCACGTTGTGGACGGCCATGGGATAACATGGCGCCGTCGCCAGACGATGCCAATCGACCGCTATGAGATTATATTTGCCTCTCTTCAAATACTCGTTTCTGATATCCACCAAATATCCCAGTTGCATGTCCGAATTGTAACCGTGCACGATAATCTTCGTAGGTATCGCCGCCACGAAGTTGGTGTCGGCAAGATTCGAACTCGTATCGTTGACTAGAAGTTGTTGCCCTTCTTCCGGATTGTATTGCGTGTAGAGGAAGAACGTCACTTCTTCGTCGGGACAGGTTTGATTAGTGTTCACTAGACACGGTCCCACGAAGTAGTCCTTACCGAGCTCATCGTCTAGCGTATTGCTTACGACAAAGGTCTGCGTATTCGTAGCTACGGTGAATTCGCAGACCACGAGGAGAATCATAAGAATTCTCCAAATTGGCAGATAACCACTCCGGTTGGCGATCGTCATCTCGTATCCGTTAGGAGCGTCACCTTGACCACGGTAGCGCGCGAAGAAACGTCTGCGTATGATTCCAGGCGACTGTCTGGTGGGAACTGGTCGCTGCAACGATTGGTTGATCGTTGCAGGCGAAATGCCGCAACGATTCAGCGACGTCACGTACTCGACGAACCTCGACAAGCTCGGAATCCCTAAAGAGCATCGGCACATGCGATTTTTTTTCTTCCTTTTTTTTTGTTTATCAAGAGTGTTTGATCTAATGCGGTGGATGCGGGAGGGAATTGTGGAAAGAGAACATCGTGATATTTAGCGACAAGGTTCAAAAAATGAAAGTTTGAAAGAATCAGCACATCGAAAAGTCAAACTTTAAGCAGTGTAAACATTGCCGATTACAAGTCTCTCGAATTTTTATCGCGGTGAAAATATGATCCTTATCGATCCGATATTGTTCATAAATACTTTACACACATTTATTATTTTTTATTTCGACGATAAGACACATATGTGATAATTTGACACGAAATAGTTCATTTTAAGATATACCGATTTTATGCAATATAACAATAGTATAACAAGAATAGAAATATCAAAAGATAATTGGAAAGATAACTTATATGACATTTTTTTAAATGAACACACTTACATTGTCAATCCAAGAAATTGCGTTTTATTTATTATTCTCGGATAATCACGACATTCTTTTCACCACTCACTATTCTATGCGGAAAACGCAATTCCATGTTAGGTCGAGCCGATGACGAAGTAGAGCGCACTGCAAGAATAGAGGTTTTTCTGTGCACTTGCGTCCATTAATCATGACACACTTCTCGGAATACATGATCGATTAAAAATATCATTGATATCGCTAGGTATGATAGTATAACAGCAGATAAAATAGTAGCGGTCTAATCAATAGCGATTGTGCGCTGAGCGAAGGCGACAAACTATCGACTCGAGGAGTGATTATGACAATAGTGATGGCGATCGATGAAAGCTTGCATGCACGATTGGCGAATTAAAATTAATCACATGGACGAATATAGGAGATGATGGTACGTGAACTGTAATAGCACTCGTGTTTTGCACGACAAATTGGATATTTCCGAGATACGAGTATTTCCTTAACCATCGCTTGTCGGAATTTTACACGATATATCGACAGCAAAATTTATGAGAAGGAAGCTTTTCAATATTGTTACGTTCCTGATGTCCGTGTTCATCGGGATGGCGCCGATTAATATCTATCGAAGTCCTCGCCGAGGGTGTAACAATAAATGTATCCTTTCGAATCCTATCTATTAATAGAACTCATGATTGAAAATATGATAGAATAATTAAATCGACATCTTCAGCTTTCGTATATTAAATTTGTACTTTAATTTATATAAATCGGTCTCTAAGATCTCTTTGGTAATCGACTAAAGAATGTGTCAACACATTTGTGCATTTATTTTCAAGCGTGAAAAATGAATTTGAAGGATTCTATCGTCACGATAGCATTTTTAACAATGAAAGAAAGCCGGGAGCTTTCATTGCGGGATTCTAGCAATTAGAAGTTGATATCGTTGATTTACGTTGCGGACGCGCTCCGATAACACGTGCTATGCATCGCGTGACTAACTCCAATGGCATCGAAGGCTGCTTTGAATAATGCGGCAACTTCCTGTTATAGCTCGAGTCTCGTTCGCAATAATTGCCGCGATTGTACTACCAAATATCGCAAAGCTCGAAATAAATGCCATTTTCTTACCCCGAATAAAGTATAATATTATCGGTCGTTTCGGTACGAAATGTGGGATTCGTTCGCGTTTCAGAATAAGAGCTCGTGAAAGTATTTGTTTGTTACTTCCGTTCTCCGACGATGCGCGCGAGAAGGTGAAATTTCGTTCGAGTTGGCATGCAGCCTACAAACATATCAATAAACTTTCGCGAGCGGTGCGGATATGAATGCTAATTGTGGTCAAAAACATTTTTACATTCGTTGTCACGATCTCGACTGCGAGCTGTCCCAATTATATGCATGATCACGTAATTATCAGTATTATCGATCATCAGCTAAGTAAACCGCTCCGTGTTTAAACAGTTCTCAAGTATATTTGTCGTAGTAAATATCAAGCTGCAAATTAAAGGATATATTATTAAATTTTAAACGGTATAAAAAGTTAAGAGCAAAAAAGAGCAGATCCAAAAAAATCCAAAAAAGACAATCGTATATAAGTAATTCTATCTTTTATTACAACATGTACATCAATAGTAAAATTGTTTCAAAAAATAAAAACTAAAAATAAAAACTAAAAAAATAAAACATTTTTAAAACATATAAATAAATAAAAGATAGAATCATAATATTAAAAAATATTTTTAAAATATATATAAGTTAAAAATATATATGTGTACAATTTTCTCAAAATTGAAATTTAAACGTCTAAATAATAAATAAAAGCGACTAATCTCATTTCGTTGGCTTATCATACATTATAATTTAAGATTTTCATGAATGATTTAGATATCCCCCTTAAACGTAAAGTCCTACTTTTCGTCGACAGTTTCTTTCGAGCCAAGCCCGAAACGAGCTTATTTGCATAAGCTGTAAGAGACTAAGAGAGGAGGAAGAGAGACGAGTATGCTCTCTCATTCGTGTTCCTCCTACATAATCCGCATATACTCGACCACTCGTAAAAATTCTCCAAATGTAGATCGGCAGTCTTGTTTCGTACTGAAAAATATGCATCTGTATGGAGGCAACAGTATGCATTTCAATATGTCTCGAAGATACGAATATCTTGCGGAAAGGAAGGATACTATATTCGACTTATCAACTTATCCGCTTATAACACAATTGGGGAAAAATTATTAATAATTTTAAGTTTATAACAATTTGCGCATATTATGTAATTTACGTATTTATAACAGAATTTTAATAATATCAGAATTATTAGAATTTTGATTTTTTTATTTATTTGTACGTTATTATTATATCTTGCATGTAAAATAATTAATAATTTAGATACAAACAGATTTATTGTTTTTTTCTCGCTCTCTTTCTCTCTTTCCATATTTCCATATCATAAAATATAAAAAGATTTATAAATACATAATAATAATGAATAATTCCGTGCAATAAAAATTCAATAAAACATTCATTTAGTTGAAATAATAATTTCAATATTATCAAAAATATTTATTTTTGCATGGCAATTTAATTTTCATCATGCACGTGGACCGCTTAATAACGGTTAAAATTATTATTACCGAGTGTCTCCCGTTAATCATATTATATTTCAAAGCAAATCGATATCGAGCACAAGCTTGCTTCAATTTGTGGTGCTTGCGGCTTATCAGCCAATCATATCATAATCTCTATTTTAAAACTAATCCGTGTTACGTGGACTAATGATGAAATCGACGGCATAAGCGAAAATACCTGAATTAATTTATGTATCAGTGATCGAATTTGACTCGTCCTAAAGTGTATACCTCGAAATAGACGTAGTTATGCGTATGATTGCATTAATTGCCGCAAGCGCTGTGCTTCATTACTGAAGGAATTAATTTGATTAACTCCAAGAGAGAGAATGCCACGAATGCTAATGTCATTGTATCGTTTCGAATTATTTCGGGGCGTGCACAATCGCTCTTTGACTATAAATTGATAATTCTTCATAGTATTTCGATTGTTTATCTTTTCTTGTTTTTCATTTCAATTTAAAATTCTGTTTACAAATTGCTGCGGAATATCGCCTAGTTCTATTCTCGTTGGCCTCGTTTCATGTGTATATTCAATTGCGGGAACTCTGCTGAAACTATTTATTATTAAAACATACACATAAGCGAAAACATGATGAGCGAGGAGAGCGCATTTTTCTATTTTCTCGACCGCTTGGATCAACGAAGTCTTCTCTTTTTTAGGTCGAAGCCAAAGCATGATGTACCTTTTGCCTCCATTTATTCTGCATTCCCTTCTATATTCCCAGGATAGTGGAATATTGTAACAAAAGTGCATATGCAAAACTTTTAGTTAAGATAAACTATAGATATTTATTTTGCAAAACCACATACGGTGTGTTGGTAAACTTTATATAAGCTTCTGTTTCACTATTACTTCGATATTTTCTCCAATTTCCGGAGTACGATGTAATTTCTTCTTCGAAATGTATTTTATAGTTGATATCCTTGGTTTTCTTGATACAAATATGAAGAAAATTTTGAATAATTTTTTATTTAGTTTTATTAAAAATTATTCTAAATATATAGCGAGAATCATTCTCAGCTTCGAGTTTTTCCGCAGAAAATATTTGCCATCGCAAATAGCCAAAAATAAATGAAATCATGTAGATCGTTTAATATATGCCAATTATATTCTTATTTTATCTGAACGTACGTAATTTTTTTATACACATGTGAAACGCGTATACGTAAAAGTTTTACGATAAATATTTGACGAAACCCGGCCCGTTTTACTGCAGTGCAGTTTGACATTTGCTTCGACCCATGATACAAAGCTCGCTGCATTGCTACAATTTATTGCTATTCCGCCAAACTCGGACATGTCGCACTCGGATATATCTGCAATCTAGCATTGCGTCTGGACCGACACCACCATAGAATCGTATTACACATTCTGAATATCTCCGCTCTTGGAGATATATGGGATGCATTACCAGGGCATGCACAGAGTTTTAATCGGATCGCTTTATATGAACTTAGATCTTTAATCGAATTTGTATTTATATTTATTTTTCAATCCGCCGTAGTTTGTAAAGTCGCTTGATTTTTATTTCCGAGCACTTTTGGTACAGGCTCGAATAAATATCGTTCGAATGAAACTCGACAAAAGAGCGACAGACAGGTGAGACTGTCTACCGCATTGATGCACAAATTTCTGCGGTGGTGCAAACCCGTGCAAACTGTACGAACCAACGCGGCCATGTAAACACGTTTTTCGGAAACAAGAGGTGAATACGTTCGTCGAAAATGTGTCATAAAAAAAGCATCTTGTAGCGTTCCCATGATTTAATATTCGATTACGTAATAATCTCGCTATATGTACACTCGTTACAACATTATATCAAGGCAGTATAATAAATTAATAAAAGATAAAAGAGATATACCTCAATTCTTCTCCAGTAGTACAATTAAAATGAAAATCATGAAAATTAAATAAGTAGATTAAAAAAAGCAATTAAATATCCTGCCATTTTACGTATTTATAACTTTGATCTTAAATAAGAAGCTTAATATATATGTATAAGCTGAGATATATAAGAGAAAACCCCGAGCGACGTTATATCTCAAAGAAATTGAAAAATGTAGCACAGAGAGAAAAAGAAGTTGGTCGTAGATTAAAAGACACAATGTCTTAGTTTTTATCTCGCAAATAATTCAGACGTAGCTGAAAGAAAGTGTTAGCGTACGAATTAGGAAATTCTTATGCAACACAATATTATTATCTTCTCTAACATAATAAATACTTTAAGATACAAAGCCATGAAGTGCAATAGTAATTTTCATGTTAGAGTTATCGCGACACTAGCGTTTACCTTATTAGAAATACGCTTTTGCGAAAAGTCCCTGTTACTTGTGTCGTTAATAAATCTTGCAACGTGATGCGAGAAACGGCCGTTATCAAGTCAACGCGCTCCATTAAATCGGATGGTAACAGCAGTTCTTTATTCCCAGCCTCATCTGTAATCTCCGATTTTCGGCGAAGTCGCCAAGCCGTTTTTATGTGATTTGATAAGATTTTGAGAGTCCTTTTCAAAGAGTTTTAAAATTCTTCTTCAAAATAATCGAAAAAAATCTAATGATTAAATGTAAAAAATAAGAATTTGAGGATATGGAATATCAATATCGTTTTCATTATACGAAAATTAATAATTCTTTTCATTTCAATCAAAATTGATTTGAATTATATGTTATTATATGTCTTTGACTGGAGAAGAATTGAACATTTTATTTTTTCTTTAATTTTCAAAAAAATAGTTGAGTCATAAGAAAAAAAATTCTTACTGAGGATTAAAATATTAGTAAAACAGCTTTTCAATTTCTATATTTGTCGACATTTTTTCCGGATTATCGATTCGCGAGAAAGCGGATGACGTTATTGATAATGCAGTAAAATTTGATGAACTGTCCAAAATTAAAGCAAAAGATTGTATTTATAAAAGAAACTAACGATGTGTAAATTTGTGTTCGACTTCCTGGGATATAAACTTGTTAACTAATTTTAACCAATTGCTTCCAATCAGATCTTAAATAGTTCCCTTGACATCTCATATTTTAGATTAATGTTAATTGCTCATGTTATGATATAATATTGATATATATTCGTAATATACAGAACAATAATAATTCTTTAATAAATAATTTTTGTGTGCAATAAATAGAAATTACACGTTTTACCGTCCGAATAATTAAAATCGCATTGAGTTTTATTTATTATCTATCTAAAGAATATATATTATTTTTAAAACTCAGTTGACGTTAAGTTATATGATATTTTATGAAATGTGATGGGGAAGCAATTTTAATGGAGTGAATTTAATCAGCAATAAAATTCTAGATTGATAGAATCTTAAAATATGAATTTCACATTTCTTTCTCAAAATATTTATAAAGCCTCGTGGAGATTAAGTTTTAGTAGACAATGAAACGTTTTGATTTAAATCGTAAAAATATGGCACCAGTTTTTCCAGCGCTAATCTTTGCATTACACAGCCTGGATATGTCATCGTCATAAATTATCATTCGCATTAATACGAGCCGCAGGCGATATAAATCTCGATATATCACTTAATGCACCTACGCAAGTTCGGCTACGCTTATTTAGACACAGACGCTGTTCAATTTCATTAATCAACCGAAAACGCGCGTTTCTCCGCCGAATTAATTATCCGCCATGCCGTTTATTTCGAATAATCGAATTTTCAGCGCGCGACGTCGCAGAGAGACAGAGAAGATTTCGACTCTTGTATATTAAACTAATTTCAACTCTCTCCCTCTACCCTTCTCACCCCCTTTTACCGCAGTTAGTAATAGCAATAAATAAACGGGACGAGAAACAAGCCGCGGGGCACGCGCTATTTGTTATCGATTACTGCCGGGTTAAAAAAAAACAACAACGATACATCGGCAGAATTGTGGGAAACATCGTGATACCGTTTGCCGATTGAAATCGCGAAAAGCCAAACGACATTATAAAACGAGCGCGCCGGCGATCGACCGTTTAATGAAAACACCGACGCGCGTTTTGTTCAGGTTTTTCTCGTATCATTTTTTCTTTTTTTTTTTTCCATCCGTTATATCTCCGCTCTCTAATTTCGCTTGTGTTGCTGCCGCAACCGCCTGCGGTAACAGTTACGCGTAAATAAATAACGGATACCATTGTAAGAGAGCAACGGGATATTGCGCGGTCTATCGATCTATCATCTCGTTGCTTAATTATAGCGGGGCGAGCGGGATTCGATTCAACCGATGGTTACTGATTAATTCAGCACTAACCGCAGATATTTAGGTCGGCTCCGTTGAAAGGTCGCGAGTTCGCCATAACGACCTCACCAATTCGCGTCGCGAGACATTTGTCCTAGTTACGAGGTGCTACAGAGATATTTTATTTATGCATTCGATAGCGAGCGGGATTGCGAAGATGAAGGAAGGGATATCCCTTGTCCCGAGGAAAAGGCATTATGAACAAGATCTTAAAGACATTATCGAGCACGGCGAAATGTCGATGACATAAAAATGAGACGAAAATAAATTTAATCTCGTATAAAAAGATCATTGTATATAGATCACAAAGAAATGCATCTGATTAAATTTTACATAAAAATATTCTTCTCTATATTTTTTTTCGTACGAGATTCAACAATTATTCTCAGAAGAAAAATTCAAACATTGTAATATAAAGAGAAAAAGTTTAAAGATAAGTTTCAAATAACTTAAAATATTCAGAAATCGATTTTTCACATTTAGTTTGTATATAATAGTTTTATACAAATATGGCTGTACAGTAAGCTGTGGTAACTTTTAATCGGCTTGTATGCTTTATTAAAAAGAGATATTTTATTCAAAGAGTTTGCAATAGGAACGACATAAATGATAAAGTCGGAAAGCAATTGAAATAACCGCAAATGTTCTCCCACGCGACAAATAAATTGTAATGGCTAACCACGAATATACGCGGGATGATTGACGGACGCGGATCGCCGAATGCCTCTGTCAAATCTGCAGGTTAAATTAATTAATTAGAATCGTTGTCATGGTACGAAATGACGTGCAGAAGTGCGAGGTAAACCGCTATGCAATCAGATGAAAAGCAAACATAGGGTATATACGGGGTGTTCGAATGAGATCAGCATAATCGAGTAACAGCACGCGACGCGAAATGGCAGCGCCTGGTAATGTAACATTTTGTAAATGTAATCCTAATGTAATAATTCTAAATCCGGGACAATCCTTGATTATTGTACCTAATCTGCATTCATCTATAACTCCATGTGCCGATAATCACGTATCCTATATTAATTGGCGCATAATGAATTAAGTGTTACACTCTTTACATTTGAAATCATATGAACTCGTGAAACTAATGTATTTTTAAATTCGATGTGAATATATATTTGAAATTTAAAAATATTTCACAAATTTATTGGAAAAATATTTAATTATTTAAGCCAAGTTTCAAATTACTAAATAGAAAAATATCATACATCTATATTCAAGATAAAACATACTTCAAAAAAGTCTGTAGATAAATAATTTATCGAAAGAAGAAATTATTTTAGGAATATGTCAACTCTAGAACTCTGAATTATATACGTGCTAAATGCAATACTCTATTTTTTTATAATATTCGATTATTGATCAACTACGCGCTGTTTTATATATATATATATAACTCATTTTCTCATGAAATATAATATCGATTTTCAATTCGGTACGCAAAGTGATTTTTTAAAATGTTTGTTCGGAAGGCGAATGTACAACAGATATATGCGCTTCATATTGAAAATCAGAAAGAATTTCATTATTTTACCGATATGACTTGTATTCTACATAAAGATGCATACATGAAATATAATAATAGTATGCACACGTATGATAAAAGCATAAATAAATGAATATTTTATGTCGTAATCGCGAGCGCGTGCGTCCTTTGATCATTAGCTCGACCCGTGCAGAACTCAAATCGACTAAATGCATTTATTACCATATTCACGATGAAATTAATTTTCATAATTATTAATACACAGTTTGCTTTATGGGAGCAAATTATCTTTAAATGTATATCGGATACAAAAGGAAAATATATAATGGAAAGTCAAAATATGTTTTTTAAATTTACTACGTACACGATGTTTCAAGAAATTAAATTTTGAAGCTCTCTTTTAATTATGTTTTTATTAAAAATATTTATCAAGTTTGTTTCACATTAAAGAAAATGATATTTATTTTTTTTAAATATACATCATAACATATTTTTCATTTACGCGATTATAATATTTTTGGAAAATATTTCAGTCGACTCAGTCAACTATATTCGTCAAAATATTTATTCCTTGTAGTTATCCGATTATACATCTAGTTTTTATTTATAAGTACTAAAATTGTGTAAGATTAAATTTGTACAACTTATAACTCAATCTTTTCAATTTTCGAGAAATTGTCGAGATCAGGCGTGCAAACTTTTAAAGTGTTTTGCAAAAGAAAAAAAATTGTTATCGTAGTCTTTGTTTTAACAAGTTTAGCCAACATTGATAATTCAATTTACGAAAATTTATTTTTATTCTTTCTCGCGCATGCATATCGCGCGGAAATGTAATCGTTTGGAGCAACGGCATTACGCGAACTCATAGTGAGAGCGAAAAAGTTTTACTCGGTGTTTTGAGTTGACAGTACGCGAAGTAAAACCACAAAGAACGAACTGGCTGACAGCAACGCGGTTGCACCGACTACGGGCGTCGGTTGCAACGACACCGACGCGAATCGATCGTGTACATGTAAGGGAGGTTTTTTGTGACTCACATGGGAAGCTGACTGGGGGATGAGACTGAGCGTTGTGCGCGTTATGGGGGTGCCTCGGGGTAGGAACGCGCTGCTTGCAAAAGCAGAGAACCGCCGCCGTTACCAGACCGCCCATGCTGAGTATCAGAAAAACAAGAGCGATGGCGAACCAAGTAGTCTGCATGCCTAGGATCGTCGATGCCTCGGAGTCTGAAATTACAAGGAAAGATTGTTAATCAGATCGGCAAAGTCCGTTCTTTCTTTAAAACGAGACATGCTTTAACTCAAGTATGCAATACACAGTATTTATAAGCATGATAACATTATGATAAAATCTGCACAAGAGAGTGCAATTATTTTATAATTAATTTCGTGAAATAATGAGATATCTGTAGAATTTCGATCATTCTTGAAAATTTTACTTTTGCCAAAAATTTCTTTCAAGAAGAATATTTACATGTTCAAATAATGGATATTGCGGAAAAATAATTGAAGAGTAATTTTTCACTGAGGAAGAGAATATTAGGCGTTATAAGAAATAACATTATTTATAGTACGTTTCATAGAAGACTGTTCACGACACGCGTATATTTTCGACGAATCGAGAAATCGATATAGCGACATATACCTCATGTTTTACCGTTATAGGACACGATACTCGTAAGTAACGCGAGTAATAAAGAAAACCTTTTATGAAAGACATTAAATTTTTAATAAATCGATCGTACACTATGGTGGTTGCGTGCAACGTGTGCGAAAACAATAGCGGGCACGATACACGTGAACTATTGCCGTTTCCGCATTTTGGACAATAAATTCTGCGTAAGTTATTACAATTATTGTCGCAGGATTACATAAAATGAAAAGTCATGTAGCGCAAAAAATCGAAATATTTGTCTATTGATTAAATATGTATTGTTTGCTTTATTATCATGAAATAGCGCGATTAATCGTTTCAAAGTCGAAAGGAGCACGGTATTAATAAAATATTAGTAGGAATTGTTAAATTTCTGCAGCAGCGAGTATTATGCGAGTTTGTAATTTACTCTACCACTATTGCCCATGGATACATAATGAATACACGGCAATTAACCTCAGATATGTCGACGTTCGCGTACTTTTGGCCATTAACATAAATGTTATGTAAATTCGGTTCGCGTTTACAAGCGAAATTGTAATAGTTCCACGCAAACATAAAAATCGAGAAAACCATTACGCTTTGTCATTACGAACAGACGATAAATCGTTGTGGTATATAACTATGATTATCCATCGGGCAGAAAATGAAAAGTCAGAGTCTATTTAAATCCCTGAGAGAAATGAAATTTGCATTTTTTTCAAAATGAATTATGTGAGAATTAATTTTTATGTGAGAATTAATTTTTACATAAATGTGTAATTTGCGACTTGTAAAAATTGAATTCCTTTTAACCGCTTCATTGCGAATTAAATTTGTTTGCATAGCGTGATAGCAGTTTTTGATATGGTATAGAGAATTATTTTTTGAGAAAAAAAAATTCGCGTTCTCTGTTTATTATCTCTTTGATACTTGAAACTAACAGCATGTTTAACTGCACTAAATCATGCAAGATTATATCTCCGCGATCTAAATCGCTTTGCTCATTAAATATAGCGTGTCTCAAAAGATATGTGCACAAAGTTGCTTGATATACGATACAACTTGATGGCGAATATATTGATTTCATGTTAACTAGCACATTATTACCGTCTATATTACTAATTATCAGTATTCATAAAATCATTCTAGCAAGATATGGAGATTGTTAAGTATTTTTTTACGTAATTTTTACGTAATTTATCTAGAGTATTTTAATTCTAGCATCTAATATTACATAACTTTCAAGTCGTCGCTATCGTTTCTCAAACATTTAAAATTTTTAATGAATAGAAGAAAGTTAAATTTTTCAAAAGAGTCGACAGTCAATAATGAAGCAGTAATTAGTAGAACGTACTGGCACAGAGGGTAGAGGTGGCCTCGTCAGATCCGTCACCACAGTGATTCACGCCGTCACAAAGCAGATCCGTCTCGATGCAAAATTCATTCTGAGTGCATCGGAAATCCTTGCAGGTGTGCTCTGCGAAAATGATAGAATCTTTCTTTAATGCATTCCTCTATGATTTATGACATTTTTAATATAAACATATTTCGTTTCTATTTTATTTTATTAAAATGCGCTAATCATATTTCCTGTTTGCATCTTTTTTATCTACATCTTTATTTAATAAAAATGCGGAGTTTAATTAATACGAAACTCATTAAAGGCCGCAGCAAAAAAATTATACATTTTCTTCAACCTGCCCTCTGTGTATCGCACGAATGACCTCATCGAAGGGTTGTACCCCTCGTGCCATATTCTCCGATAGGCGAAACTTCAATGATGGGCTATTTTAAGAACACTCGAGAAGCTTTTCGCGTACAGTCTTTCACGAAGTAGAAATATTCGTAACGTTTTATACATATGAGTATTTTTGAAAAATAACATTTTCGTTATATACAATGAAAAGTTTAAAAAGAAGAAAATAATTTCGTTAATTGAGAGGAAATAAAATATCATAGCAGAATAATGTAATTACTTTTAAAGGAAATCAATTTCTCTCTCTAATAAATTAATTAAATCGACAATTAATCAGGAAATAACGTATACAAGTTATACGAAACATATTGAGAGAATATATTTTGAAAAACTAAAAATAACAGAAACAATATTTTATTCAATGAAAATGTTATTTTCTCTTATTGATTTTAATGTATAGAAATATTTTTAGAAGAAAAAACCGATTACAACATTTACAGTTTTAAAATGAAATCTAAGCAAAAATATATTTTTGCTTAGATATCACTCGTAAAAAATACACATGTTTTATTTCTATTGAATTTCATTCGAATGTCTTTTGCGAACGATATATAAGTTACGCTTAATACATACAATTTAAATATAACGTAACAAATTTAGATCGTACTACGACTCGCTGATATGTTATTGATGGCTTAATGAACAAATGTCGGTGTACTCTCATAAAGAACAAATTTAATGAGATGTCTGATGAGATTGTAGGGTGATACGATTAATTACCTGGTGTGCAATTTGAATATCGGCCCATCTGCCGGGTTACAGTTCATCGTGCTATTTAATATGAAATTACTCGCGATCGAGAGCAGTAGATAAATTCGTCCATTTCGTTTCGCGGGGAAATTAGTTACATCCAGCGAGTATAAAAGCAACTGTCTGAATTAATTACAACGATGAGCCCAGGCAAACGGAGACGTACTCGATATAAAGGCATTCGCGCGCGCGATTTAATTACAACGATCGCGCTTGAAACTCGAGTTCGGCATTAAGCTAATGGCTTCGATAAGTTTACCCTTTTACTAATGAAATCTTGAGTTCCCGTAAATGCTTTGCATACCGCATACGACAAATTAAATTGTTCTTTATTAACATTTAATTTGCAGAAGAGAGAGATAGATAAAGAGCAATGTTTAATATTTGTTTTCTCAAGTGCTTGTGAAAATATTTATTATTTCTCGCAAATTGATTTGCACCGAAAATTTCTCTCGTTAATTATTATTATTAATTTAACGGAATTTGTATTTCTGCTTTGTTGTAATATTATGACAACAAAGTCGATGATCAAATGTGAATCTGTATCATGTTTTATGATAAAATACCTCAAATTTTCGATATTTATGTCTTCTTTTTTTTTTAAACAACTTTCAATCGCGCGAAAAGCGTATTTCTGTCGCATTCTTGGGCATCGAACCGTCGTAATTCTTGAGACATCTGGTCTAATTACGGTCCAACTCGTGGAATGCGAGTAATAACGAACGATAACTTTCACCGCTCCGTGAAAAAGCGCACATTGGACGGCGAAGACAGCGATTCTCCGTGTTCTCTCGCTGGCAATTATAACTCTTCGGGGTCTTCTGGAATCGTAGGGTGGGTGATAAAAGGATCGACGACGATTTTCGAAAAGATAGAGTGCGATAGCGCGAAAAAACCCGCAGACGGTCGTAATTTTATGTAATTTAATAGTTGAGATTCTCCTCTTTTTCCTTCCATATTCCGAACTTTCATGATTCGTCGTGATTTCGTAGTTTTTGCGGAAGTTCAGACAAAAAAGAACCGGAGAATAATGTTTAATAGCGATTAGACGATGGAGAGAATTTTATTCCGATAGCAGGATATGTCAAATGCAGATTCTCTTTCGCGTGAGATTAATAAGATTAATTAATTAATCTTTTTCAGAGATTATAAATAATCTAGCTCTTATCTCAATATTGAAAAAAAAATCGCGCATGATTGTAAATCGCTTAACGTTAATGAGAAGAGAGTGAGAAAGACGGGAAAATGGCGGCATCACAAGCATATATGTACATCTACATCCGCGATAGAGTCAATGTTTAACCCTCTCGGATTGGCCAATCATTTAACATCGGACGGTAGACGCCGTATACACGCTCAAATATGCTCGATACACCGATGAAATTAACAGTCGTGGCTGAGCAAACAGATGCGCAGTCACGCCGTGTCGCTGATGTGCTGTAATACCAAGTGTTATGCGCGCCCTGACACGCGCGTGTACACGCATTTGCACAGGCTTATAGGCTTGGCGGATTCGCACGTGCACATACTGAAAACTAAGGGAATGCTTAAGTGCGGAAGTTGGGAAATTTGCTCGTACTATGCAGGAGCAGACGGAATTTTCGGTGGCGGCATATGAACCGTCTTATCGGGACATCTTGATAATTTTCAGCCCCTTCGACGTGTTGCGCTTAATTATTGACGCGCACTCTGCTTGAATTTGCATTTAACGTCAAATTATAAAATATTAATAATTACCGAACATTTAATATAACATTAAAATTCATGCAAATCCACGATGTGTTTTTGTATTTTTATAGTAGTACATAAATATTCGATGAGCGATGGTAAGAGAAAGATAATGTGCAAGAATAAAAGAAATCGAATTAATTATGTTATTAAACAAAGAGATAAAGCTTGAAAGGTAGTTTCCAAAATTCACTTCTCGCTTTCGAAAAGGATTTCATTAAATTCTGTCCCGAGATGTACTTACACGAGAACATGTAATAATAGCATGCCAACGTTGCATAAATAATGTTTTTGTAATCTATTGAGGAACATGCAATTTTACAACTTGTGGCATATGCTTACGATTTTGTTACACGTAGATTATTAAAAAAAAATGCATTGAACATGATTTTTATCTGAGTACGAATGTTTTTTTAGGAATTTTATTGTAATGTTTTAAGTAGATTAAGGGAGAATTTCTTTTTTAATCTGAAAAATCTAATGTCTTAGGAGTTTAAAAACACACATTTAGAAAATAAAAATTGTAGCTGTACAGGATGTTTCTAAATAAATGTTAAAAGTTTTAGAAAATTTTAGGATTATAACTCTTTGTCGAAAATTTAGGAGTTCTTTTATATAAACCCTTCTATCTCTCTCTGAGAAATGACTTCTTCAAAGGGAGAAATGAAAATTAAGTTTTCTTAATTTTGGTTTTTATTTCATTTTTTAAATATTTATAATTTTGTTTTATTCGCTTTTATTTTATTCTAGAATTCAACTTCTCGTAACTCGAAACTTATGTCATTTAGCACAGTGTTGCATAATCATATATAATATATTTTATTCTTGAAAACCATTGATTTTACAAAAAAAATAAAAGAGATAAAAAAGCTTTTAAAAGAATTAACCTTTCTAACATATATTTTTAAATGATCACATTCCGGTCTATTAAAAAGTTCCAACAGAAAATTGAATAGGAGTTGTTAGTTTCATCCTCTTATAACGTACAAGAAAATAAAAATAATCATAAATCCTATTACGAGTGGAAAATATCTACCAAATTTTATTTTTTTAACTTGTTCAAAATTTGAGAAGAAGAAAAAACTAAAAATTTAATTTTCACTTCCCTCTTTGGAAGAGTATATATTCTCCTTAGGGAGAAATATAAGACTATATGAAAAACTTTCCTTCATTTGCGACAAAGAATTATCTTCTAAAATTTTTCGCACTTATTTAGAAACATCCTGTACATTTTGTAATAGAAGGAATGTCTCCCACGTGTTTCGAATGCAAGCGATTCAAGCGAGCGATACTGTACTGTCCAGTTTTCAATTCTAATTCCTTTTCTTTTCCCATCTTTTTCTCGATGATTACGTTCTACTCGCTGTTAAGCTTTTTATAGAGAAATGCATTACGAGCATGTTCGCGTTCTATCAATACTATTAGTAAGAATGACGCGCTCTGCGCGTGGTCCGATATTGCAACACGCAAGCCGATTCTTTTTGCCCTTTACGCACGCAAACCGCGTATATATCTGTCGTTGGCAGGATGTTGCTCGACGATGCTAAAAGTGCGAAACTAATGGACTCATGCATTTCCATTAGCCATCAGAGATTCATTATACATTGATCGCGTTCGATATCGGCCATTAAATCGCGACCACTTGTAGAAGATTCAATTTTCGAAAACAATCTATATGACATTTTATTCATAAGTTAAGTGATTTATTTCCTTTGCATCTATTCTCTAATATTATTCATTAACATCTCTATCCTCTAATATTTATATATATTTTTTATCGAAGAAAAATTGTTACTTTTTTTTTATCATGGATTGCGAAGAGAAATATTATTGCATATAAATCCATCTGGAAACGAATAGAGTTTTATCTTCCCAAAGGCCCGCTCAATCACGTATCTTTATCACTGACAAACTGTTCTTATATCGTAGAAAGCGCACTTGCTCAGAGCGTCAAAATTTGATAAATTATTTTATTGCACGAGAATTGAAACGGGAGGAAACGTCATCTTCGTTTTTACTTACGCTTTCATATTTAGTCTTATCCGCGTGACAATCCGCTCGTAAGAGCGAAGTCGGTGATCGCGTGAGGAGGTTGCATGTTGCTGTTAAACCACAATTGGCGCACGTTTACGATAATGACGCCGATGACGACGGTAATGACGATAATCCCGCGATTCTGTTGCGTCCTATCGTACGAATGACGACCCGATTTTATTGCGACCGATGAATACACGATGAATGCA